CAGCCTTATTTTCAATTCTTGATCAATCAGAATGATAAATAGGAAATTTTAATCTGAAAAACCGAATATTTTTATTAAAATAATTTAAAAATACGATTTAAAATATCGAGCTAGCCAAGCTGAGTTTTCAACTTGGCTGATTCGGCTTAATAAGCGTAGTTGAGGTCGGTATAATCACTCAATGACTTCTGCACATGCGCTTGGATAAATTCACGTACATCTGCTGTGGTCATCGGTTCACCATTTTTACTGATGGCATGCTCAATGTCGGGCTGACCTTCAATTTTGATGCGATAAACAAAGCTTTTCTTTGCTTTGTATTGTTCATCATCCTTTGCAATGACCGTCACGTAGTGATAGCTATGTTCAAAGTTCAAGTCGGTATGGGCAAAAACAAACTGGTCGAAAAGTTTCAGTGTGGCGCCATTTTCCAGTGCTTGAAGTTCCTCCACAATACTGGCTTCAAACTTCATTCCATATTTTTCTGAAATCGGTTGTTGGTCAATCAATAGACTCACCATCCCATCTTCAGTGGGTTGTACGGTGATGTTGCTCAAGTCCGTCATGGTATGCTCTTAGCAAATAGAATTGGACATCAGTATCCGCAAAAATTGGGAAAAGACAAGCGCTGCCAAAGTCTAAAACATTCTATATGAGCACAAAGCCAAAGTTTGATGCATAAAAAAGGAAGCTGCAGCTTCCTTTTTTATGATTCATTTTAGTCCTGTGCATCAATACTCTGACCATTCATATGCAAACTGTCATCACCCATCAGGTACAGATAGGCAGGCATGATATTTTCAGGTGTCGGCAATGTTTTTGGATCTTCATCAGGATAGGCTTTGGCACGCATCGCTGTGCGGGTCGCCCCCGGATTGATACAGTTAAAGCGGATATTCGGTGAGGTATTTTCTTTGGCAAACAGTTGGCTGACCGCTTCAATCGCGATCTTAGACACGGAATATGCGCCCCAACGTTCACGCGTTTCACGCCCGACACCTGAGCTGGCAAAAACCACGGAGGCATGCTCAGATTTTTTCAGGAGTGGCATTAACTCTTGAGTCATAACGAATGGCGCACGCAAGTTGACGGCCATGACATCATCCCAGACATCGACAGGATAATTTTCCAGTTCGGTGCGCTCACCTAAAATGCCCGCATTATGCAAAATGCCATCTAGGCGCCCAAATTGGCGTTCTAAGGTGTCGACCAATAATTCATAATCACGAGGAGAGGCGCTCGACAGCTGCAAGGGTAAAATTGCAGGTTGCGGCGCACCTAAGCCTTCAATTTCATCATAAATGACTTCGAGCTTATTTAAGGTACGCCCATGCAGCACCACAGTTGCGCCGTGTAGGGCATAACTTAATGCAGCAGCACGACCAATACCATCGCCCGCACCTGTAATTAAGATGATGCGATCCTTGAGCAGATCGGGGCGAGGTTGATATTCTGAATATTTCATCATTACCTCCTCGTTATTTTGATTTTTTAATTGTGATCAAGTCAGTGAATTGGACGGTGT